AGTTCTGAAGGGTGCTGGTGAAATTACAGGCACATGGGACTTGTCAACTGAAGTCTCAGGGTGACGGGCGCAGTGGCAGTACCCATAAGATCTTTGCGAATCAAAGCTCTGAATATCACTGCAATTGTTATGAATAGGCGTGCTGCTTATGACTTGGTATCATAAAAAAAAAGAATCGGTGGAGTTTTGTAGTGAGAACAAGGTATTGTACTTAACCGATCCGTCAAAATAAATTTAACAGCAGTAATCTAAATGAGTAGGTGTTTAGTACTAGGTAGTTAATTATAAATAATTACAATTGGAATTGCTTTTAAATGCTCCTCCGGAACAATTTGAACATACGTTTCGTGCAGGTAAATGGGCACCTTCGTAAAATAATAACTAATAACAAGTGTGCAATTTAGGAGGAACAATGGAATAATGTAACAAATTACTGTAAACATACGTGGGCCATTTTGTGGTTACATCGGTCAAAGATAAATAAAAACAGTAAAACTACCTCCCTTTATACTTCTTTTAATTTCGACTGCACAATATTGTTAGAAGCAAGGTTCGAAAACCAAGACTTATTGATTTATTTTCTTAAATACAATGAAAGTGGTCAGAGAGTTCTTATGGCTTTTGAAATTCTATTATCTTACGAATAAATCTTTTACGAATTTCAAAGCGAGAATTAAGGAGTGTTATTCATTCACACTTCCATCAACAATATAGGTATTATTTTATGAAATAAATATTTATTTAACTCAAGTAATTGTAGTTGCAGTAGAGCTCCTTGTGAAAGAGTTCGTCTGCCGCCAAGCAGTAATGTCGGCATTACTGTGTTCCGGTTTTGAAGGGTAAGGTGCTGGTGAAATTATAGGCACATGGGACTTGTCAACTTATGTCTCAGGGTGACGGGCGTAGTGGTAGTGCCCCTCAGATCTTTGCGATTTAAAGTCCTGATTGCCACTGCGTTTGTTATGGACAGGCGTATCACTTACCATCAGGTGGGCCACTTCTTCGTCCCGTCACTTGATGTTATATTAAAAACAAAGTTAAGTTTATTGAATGTCAGGATCTCTGGATGTTTTACCATCATGATATTCTATTATTTTTTGTGAAATTACTCCGTTAGTTTGTTATAATTTTAATACAAAGATCGTGCACTGATTCGAACCAGCGTCTTCCAGGAAACCGTGCCAGACGCTATGCCAACTAAGCCACAGAACGAAACATTGACCTTTCGAATTTTTCTATGTGTTTGTTGCAGATCTTATATTAAATTAAATTTATTATTAATTAATAATGAAAATTAGAAGAAATTAAAATATACAAATTAATACTGCAGTCTTATGTCTCTTTGAAATTTTTCATGAGAGGAAATACTGAATCCCAAACTGGTGGTACGGAGAAATCATCTTCCCTGTTGAAATTAGGATGTTTCTTAATTTCAATGGCCTCTTGCAGCATCCTGGGTAGATAACGGACCTCTTTTGTAAGGACCTGGGATTTGTCAAACTTAATTGAATGTGTAGGTTTATTCATGACATGCTCACAGGCTACAGAATTGTTTGACATCAGCTATATTATCACGTTCTTTGACGTAACGTTGGTTTGTTGGAAAAAACAAATATACTATGTGTTATTTCCTATGTGTTACAATCGCCAAAACCTGAGAACTCGAATCAAAAATTATTTCATCTGGTAGAAGAATCTGATACCAGTCCATGACATTGATGTCATTACCCATGTTGTAGTAAAATGAATCATTACTAAATAATGATTCTTAATGATCCATTTACAAAATGTCACTGACTTGATTATAGTGAATACCTACACATTTATAATCAAAATTATCTTTAGAGTTCCCATCGTCGACTAGCCAATTAGTAGCGAAATTCACATAATCAGTCTGGATAATGTTAATTGGTAACCTCTCTTCACGTAAATTAACTTTAGTAATTAGTATGATAAATCTTTTTTTTTATGTTATAAAGCAACGGGACGAATTTAACCATTAGAATTGGTAAAGGAACATATGTATCTCGGATTAAAAATTTACCATAAATTTAACTGGGGCCCACATGTTGAACATGTATGTAATAAGCTTAGGGCGGTACTTTCCAAGTTATGTATACTCAAACAAAAAGTACCATATAAATACATTGAGAATGTTATATTTGGCACTGGCTGACTCTATAATTAATTGTTGTATTTCGAGCTATGGTCGTACGTACAAAACATTCCTACTGTATATTTATAGCCTTCAAATAAGATTGCTTAAGACCATTGTACCTCCTAGAATTAGATATAAATTTAAAGATAATTATGACCAACTATTTCAGTACTGTAACGTAATGAATGTCTTTGATAAAGTTAAATTAGCAATCATAACCGAAAATTGTGGAAAAATAAAGTCGTTAAAGGTTAAAATTAGACCGAATTCATTACGTACACTATCACATCTACCTATGTGTGATATACCTAAATATAACAATAATTATGGTAAAAGAGTTTGGATGTGTGAACCAAAAATCTTATAAATGGAATAACAGATAAAAATCCTGTACAAGTCAAAAACAAATTAAAAAGATTTTATATGAAAGTTCAATATCAGAGGAGGCTTACACAAACTGGTAATTGATTTAATTGTTGTACTTTACATATTAACGCAACTCACTAGAAAAGGATAAATAATCTTTAATTTTAAGATTCTACCTTGAATGTACTGTAACTTGTTGTTAATATTTGTAATAAACAGTTTTAAATTTAATTATTTTTTTTGAATAAAAATAAAAATAATATTTTACGAATATTCTCGTAATAAATTATTTATGTGTTTTAATCATTGACTTACAATTATATGGACGTCGGGTCCGCGCTAAAAAGTGTCCGCACTTGTAAGGCGCTAAAATCGTATACAGAGCGCGACACTCCGCTTTAGTCTTCATTTGTTCGACTGACAGCGCGATACTGCGATGACATTACAATTTAAATTTCGAATAGGTTGACTTGGGACATTTTTTCGTGGTTTTTGTATTAGACCCGTCGTCCATTTATTTGTAAGTCAATGGTTTTAATAGACAATATTTAACCGTAGAGCTCCTTGTGAAAGAGCCAGGGTAAGTAATCCCACCATAACTATCTGCACCTCCAAGTTATAATGTGAGCATTACTGCGTTCCGGTTTTGAAGGGTGCTGATGAAATTACAGACATATACGACTTATCATAATGTCTCATGGTGACTTTGTGATTTAAACCTCTGGCACTGCAACTGTTTTTTTATGATACCCAGTGACTGCGCCTGGTGTTAAGCGACACACCTGTCAATAGCAGTCGCAGTGCCACTCAAAGTTTTAAATCGGAAAGATCTGAGTGACACTGCCATTTCGCCTGTCACCCTGAGGCATAAGCCGACAAATCCCATGTGCCTGCGCGTAATTTCACGAGCACTCTTACTCTTCAAAACCGAAACACAGTAATTGCTCACATTACTGCTTGTGGCAGTACTTCCCTGGACGAATTCTTTCACAAGAAGCTCTCCTGCATTAAAATGATTACTGTTTTTTTATAATATCACTGTTATGAGAAGCTTGTCCTTATCTAATGACCCGAGAGATAGGGTTTTCAGGAGAGACTATGGGCTCAATGGCAAGACCAGGGTACAGCGGGCATCCGGGCCAAGCCCTCCGCCAGTGATACGCCTTTGCCCCGGTGGATCCGGACTTAGTCGCAGGGGTTTGTGGTTAGCTGCAGAGACGGACACGTTTGTCTGTCCCGGTTGGGTGTGGCCGGGGTGTCTGTCTCGTGAGCAGCTAGCGCGTATAGTTGAGGGCCTGAAGCGAGGAGACACGCGGGCCACGTGAGTCGCGTAAGTTGGAGGTTATGTCCGGACATTGTCGCAGGACACTGCGACTGGCATCCCAGGCACTAGCCCGGAGAGCTAGTAGAGGATAAGCTAGATATCCTCCGGTCCCTCCAGCCGTTAGGTTATTGGGAACTGGAGAGACGTCGTTTTTCGGCGTCGGGATGTGAGCGTGCCTTACAGCTCCACCACCAATGAGGAGATTTGGTAGTGGACTCAGAGTCGATGGCTTAGCGGTGGCAACCGCCAGTTATGTAATGCGCAACGGGAAGTGAGCGTGCCTACAACTCCGGCACCTATCGGAAAATAGAGAGGGTAGTGTACGTGCACCCGGGGCGGCTCACCCGAGGCACTAGGCTCTCGAAGAACCGGATGAAGTCAAGTGATATATAATGTTCCTATGCACGCACAGGTTATAGTGCCCTGCTTGTATACCCTAAGGGTCGGTAGAGAGGGTTACTATTATGAGAAGCTGTGTCGTTAACCACCAGACTTGTGACTTTTTCGTCCCATCATTAAAAAAAGACGTAGCTTAAGTGCTGAATGAACGTTTATTAATAACCGGAATTGACAATTCTCACATAATGTTCATTCAAGTGACATTTAAAAGACATTTGACTTAATTAAGGAAGTTAGTATAATATCCATTCTGTACTTGAGGTAGATTTATTAATATCGATATTATAAAAGTAATCTTTAGGTAAATCGTCATTAAATTATCTGTAATTAAGTCTAGATTTGAAAAGGCGAAAGTTTTGTAGTGGCTGTCGTTTTCAACAAGCGATTGGCGTTTGTCTCAATTCACAATGTGCCAATAGCCCCCGTTACACAGTCACTCAGTCGCGCGTGGATCGTACAGGATTGCGCGCAGGAAGGCCTGCACGCGAAATCGTGCGCGATTACCTGTTTGAATTTTTTTAAGCTAACATACTTACAACGAAAAGAGCGTCCGTCTAAAGGCTAATAGCGCAGGATAGACCGCGTGAAACTGGCGAAACTGGCGCGTGTTGGGGTGCGCGACTGTTGAGCGCAATTGTGTGGTTTTTCCCATTTCCTTCCAACGGCTTTCCGAACACACACTCAATCGCGAACGATTGCTGTGTAAAGTCCGCTATTGTGTGTGCAAGGCATTGTAACTAAAGCGTATCTGACCTTGTTCAATATGGCAGTTGCGAGCAAATCCTCATAAGTTGAAGACTCGATACTCGGTGTGGTAGGCTCAGCCGCGTATCTTGCAAGCGCAGGCAGCGATGCGGCCTCCTCTACCACTCTCGCCACAAGCCGCTTTAGTTGAGCATGCGCCCCGCTCGCTCCGCTGGATTGATGGGCGCTTGAAGCTCTGGGTGCATGTCGAGGTGGGAGATCTGAGAAGAAAAAATGTAGTAAGTACAATAGTAGAACTTGGTAATCAGTGTTATTGGTTAGAAACCAAGGAATCACAAAGATCTGAGCTACGATATTAATAATTTTTAACTTCGACTTCAAAAAAGGAGGTAGTTCTCAATGCGAGCTGTATTTCGATATCCCCCACGTAGTTGTTGTAAGTCAAAATATCATTTTTTGCTTTTTAACTTACATATATCTTAATTATTAATACAAAGATAGAACACTTAGAAAAAATTCCTTCGATCCGGCCAGCGAATTTCGAACGCCCCAGTGGACCTCACGAATTTTTCTATGTGCTTGGTTGTCGGATCTTTGTATTTGGTTTTCAACGACTTTTAAGCCGTAACGCCATCTATTAAACTATTTCGTCACCCAGTTAGGTAACTTTACAAATTTAATTAAATATATCCATTTTTATGTATATTGTAAGTTCCATATTTAAAAGTAAAGAAATCACTCAGTCTGATGTTTATTTTCAAATATGGAACCTATAATATACATTAAAAAAAAATTACATTTAAGTTAAAAAGCAAACAATGGTATTTTGACTTACAACAATTAGCGTGAGAGGTGATTTTTTTTAATGTGTTACACGTATACTCCGACAATTGTGGACCTATTTTGATGATTCTTTTTTTGTTAGAAAGGCAGTACCACAGTAGTAATCCCATTTATATTTGAAAAACACATTCAGTAAGCTTCTACTTCTACTAATCGTGTCGATAGTTCTTTTGTTTTAGGATTATATTGACCCTAAATAGTACGTTGCTACTTTGACTGCGCTGTCCGTGGCCGCGTAGAGATCTTCCCTCGTACAGGTGTTAGGATACAAGGGGCACAACAGTAAGTGTTGCATGGACTGTGTTGGGGCACCGCAGTTACATTGGAATTGACTACTATCTTTGAAACCCCATTTACACATCGTGTCTCTGCAGCGTCCTACTTGAGTGCGAAAGCGGTTTAAGGACTTCCACACGGGCCACCGCAGGTCGCCACTTGGTGGTAGTTGCTCTTAATTCAGTATGCGACACGCCTATTCATAACAGTTGCAGTGCCATTCAGAGCTTTAAATCGCAAAGATCTTAGGGGCACTGCCACTGCGCTCGTCACCATGAGACATAAGATCACAGGTCCTTTGTGCCTGTAATTTCACCAGCACCCTTAAAATACAAAATAAAAAGCGGCAGATAGTAAAACAAAAACTGTTTATTTTTGGTAAATTTATGGTGTTTTGAAAAAAGTCATGGAACAATAGTTGTTGTTCATGATTTTGGTAATACAGCCCTGCAATGTTGTTAGTATTTTGAAATTAACCCTGTTATTTTCGGGTGTTCCTACCAATAATAAATAAATAAAGTCATGGACGTAGTGGACGTTCGTAAGCAAATGAAGGGGAAATGATTCTAGGCTATTGACATCCCAAAGTCAAACCCAAATAATCATTTATTCCATAGGTAAAATTTTTACACTTGAAAACGTCAATTTTTAAGCTACTGCTCGTTCACTACGCTGACTTCCCTGAGAAGAACGAGCAAGATACTCTAGGGGTTGCTCTTTTCAAATAAACTTAAATGCTATAAATACATTTTGAATCATATTTGTGTGGAATCTAGACTCACATTGTCTTTCCCTACATCTTTATCTAACACGTAGTCTACAATTTTCTAATATGACTTTTCAATTAAAATACTTTTAATACTTTTAACTTAGACTTCCGTGAAGCAACTGAACCGTCGTAGGATTAACCATCCGCGAATTCCAGCTTTCGCAATCTTGCCTTCGTGGTATCGTCATTCGGGTAAATGAACAATCGAGCTTTCAAACCTTCGCGCAACCGAACATTCGTGAAAATAAGCCGTCGCGCATTATAGCTTTTATAAGAAACAGTCTTCGCACTATCGTCACAATCACGTGGGAAACCCGTTTAATTCACAATAAAAATAAGTAGCTACTTATTATAATGCAGACTTCACGAAAATGCGGTAGTAAACATAATAATCAAAAGTTGCCAGCCTTAACATTTTGCGGTAAAAGTACACAATGGGTCAACGCGATAATTATATAAATCAGGGTTGGTATTTAACAACTTAAAGATTTATCTAGATTTATTTTTACATTTCGTAACGCATATGGAACATTGTAAGTAGGTACTCATTTTCCTTACATATATTTTTTAAAGCACTGTAAGGAGTTGTCGAGGTATAGTCCCACCCACACACTTAGGAAAGCCTATCAGTGTAAGAGCGGCAGATGCAGTACCAGCAGCTTGATTTTGATTGCCTCTCCCGATCGGATAGCTGGAAGTATGTAAGGTGACAGTACTATCCTGGGCGAATTCTTTCACAAGGAGTTCTACTGCTACTAATTGATCATGGACCAAGAGGACTGCTAATAGCAATACAAGAAAGCGTAGTTGGGTATTTAGTACCCAATGGTACACCAGATGTCGCGACGAGTCAAGCTACTCTAATTTCTAGTGATAACAAACAAAACAACTAGATGGCGCTCATTGTATACATTTTTATGAATACTGCCGGGTATTT